TAAAGTAAAGTAAAATAGGAAGTGGGAGGAACTAGAAGATTCAAATACAAATGGATACACAGGCTTTATTCCCGGCACTCTGACAGCAGATGGGGAAAATAATGGTCCTAATAATTTACAAATCCTCCCCCCCCTTCCCCCAGACCAAACAAAAGACCCAGACAGGAATATGATGACAATAGCCAATCATGCATAGATGAATTATAGACAGCAGCAACAGTAGAACACAGACCGAGAGCTAAAAGTTTAGCACTCGGTCTGTGTTCTACTGTTGCTGCTGTCTATAATTCATCTATGCATGATTGGCTATTGTCATCATATTCCTGTCTGGGTCTTTTGTTTGGTCTGGGGGAGGGGGGGGAGGATTTGTAATTAGGGGGGGGGGAGGATTTGTAAATTATTAGGACCATTATTTTCCCCATCTGCTGTCAGAGTGCCGGGAATAAAGCCTGTGTATCCATTTGTATTATTTATTATTTAGTCATGGGGAGGAACTTAAATCATGGCGAGATCGATTGGGACTCTAGAAATCCCCATGATGGGGAAGACACATGTTGAGTGAATTGAAATTAATGAAAGTTGTGTCTTCCTGTAGGCTTGGAAAACATCGAGAACTTGGAACACAAAATACCACTTGGAGCCAGTGATCATTGTGTCCTGGAAATTAACTTTAAGATGGAACTAAGAACATTGACCATAAGACCAAGGAACAAGGAGGAAGAGGAGAGTACATAAAAGTAAGAGAATATCTGGGAATTGTACAGTACGAGGAGGAACTTAGAGGGAAGACGGTCCAGAAAATAATGAACCAAGTCAAATTGAGTTGCACAGACGCATATAGGAGAGAGAGAGACATGTACCATGACGCAGGCTTCCTGTCCTCGTCGAGGCCACTAGTATTAGTGGCCCCTCAGGTAAATTCAGGTAAATATCAACAATAAGAGAAAACAGTAGGAGATAATATAATAACCCTTGCTTCACAGTGCCAAGTAGCAGGCACGAAAAGCAGGAGAGATAGGGTGAAATACAGTTTAAAAGATAAGGAAACCAGAATAGATGCAACAGGACTAGGAACAAATACATAAATATAGAAAACTATATCAATTATATTGCTGTTCTCCTTGCTGTAATCCCGTTACAACAGTTCTCCACCTGGGGCACATGAAACTAACAGTTCTCCACCTGGGGCACATGAAACTAACAGTTCTCCACCTGGGGCACATGAAAACATCCAGTTCTCCACCTGGGGCACATGAAAACAACAGTTCTCCCCTTGGGGCACATGAAAACATCCAGTTCTCCACCTGGGGCACATGAAAACACCCAGTTCTCCACCTGGGGCACATGAAAACACCCAGTTCTCCACCTTAAGCATATGAAAACACATGAAGCTTGAAGCTCGATGTCCAAAGAGCTTGGAAAAGATGGAGGGAGGGGGGGGGGGAGAAGGCGTTGGTGACATTGCTTCGGTTGCTGATGTTGGGTCTGGTCTGTTTGAGTTGAGGCAGCGTTTCGAGGCTGTAGTAGGTCTTCTGGGACCGACATCGTTTTGGTAGATGTTTTTGGGCAAGCAGCATGTTCAGTACTCTCACGTATATGGCGACGTCTGCCTCTGCCATCTTCTCAGTAGATAAGAGTGGTGGCGGTCGAAGCCGCTGATTGGTTGACACCAGGAATTCAATTCGAGGCCATGAGGATGGTTTGAAAAGGCGGGAGGGGGTGAATCCTGCTCTGCCAGCTGTTAAAAACTTTATAAAAACGAGACTGCGGGGTGTTGCTGACCGCATGCATTACTCTTACTACTTTTGGCTTTCTAATTTCTTTTGTTTCAAATATTTATGTATAGCTTGAAATTGTTGTGTCTTTGTCCCTCGTCGGCGGCTTTCTTCGGCAGGTATGGATGGGGAGATACAGAAAATGGGTCTTTGTAATTCGGTCTATTCTATGTACGTGTCTTTCGACCTGTGCTGCTTTGGCTCTATGCGTTAATATTTGTATTTAATGTGTCTGCAGAATCGAGCTATTAGCTCTTGGACCCCGCTTTTCTAACCAATCTGTTTTCACTATTATATCTACTACATATATTTCTCTCTAACACACACACATCCCCAGGTACCCCCAGGTACCTATTTACTGCTAGGTGAACAGGGGAATCAAGGTGAAAGAAACTTCGCCTATGAACAAATCCACAAAGGCAGTGATGAGGGTTGGAACCTACGTCCGGGATAATCCCAGACGCGATCCCAAGGATCTGCCCATTTTGTTTCCGCCTCCGCCGGGAATCGAACTCGGGCCTTTAAGACTACGACCACCAAACGCCGTCCACTCAGCCCCGAGGCCCCCTACTTTGTGATTCCTACTCAGTGGCACTCGTTCCTGTGTGGCACCTTAGACCACTATTCTCCCTTCCTAGTTGCAAGATTGTTTCCAAAGGTGCAAAATTATATATATTACTTCCCCCCCCCTCCCCTCGGAGTGGGGGGGAGGGGATCGAACTACGTTAGGTGATAGGAAACGCGCCCAACAGTTTCTGTCCGGCTCCGGATTCGCGACTATGAGTCGAGAACGAACCCAACTGCGCTACTGAGACCACTGCGCTACTGAGACCACTGCGCTACTGAGACCACTGCGCTACTGAGACCACTGCGCTACTGAGACCAGTAGCTAGAATATGTGAGCTCCTGTACTCACCTGTGCAGGAAAAACCCCCCGTAGCAAATGCAACATTAACAGGAATACTGAAGCTGTTAATGGTGCTAGTAGCCAATTAGCTGAGGAAGCAGTTTTGGTGATCTATCTTGAGATGATTTCGGGGCTTTAGTGTCCCCGCGGCCCGGTCCTCGACCAGGCCTCCACCCCCAGGAAGCAGCCCGTGACAGCTGACTAACACCCAGGTACCTATTTTACTGCTAGGTAACAGGGGGCATAGGGTGAAAGAAACTCTGCCCATTGTTTCTCGCCGGCGCCTGGGATCGAACCCGGAACCACAGGATCACAAGTCCAGCGTGCTGTCCGCTCGGCCGACCGACTGATAGTAGTAGATTTTTAATAGATACTGTGGAAGAACTCCAGTGGAACTAATGCAGGCGATGAGTCACAATAACGTGGCTGAAGTATGTTGACCAGACCACACACTAGAAATTGAACCTGGCAATCGACTTGAGAATGGTCCAGGACGGACCGAAACGTCATCGTCCCTTCAATTTCTAGTGTGTGGTCTAGTCAACTACAGTGGAACTTGTCATCATTCGGTAGGGGGGCCTGACGGCTGAGTAGACAACGCTCGGTATTCGTAGTCCTAAAGTTCCGGGTTCTATCCCCGGCGGAAACAAATGGGGCAGAGTTTCTTTCGCCCCTGATACTCCTGTTCACCTAGCAGTAAATAGGTACCTGAGAGTTAGACAGCTGCTACGGGCTGCTTCCTGGGGATGTGTAACAAAAAGGAGGCCTGATCGAGGACAGGGCCGCAGGGACGTTAAGCCCCGAAATCATCTCAAGATAACCTTCCTTAATGGTACTCCCTCGGCGTCACAATCCCCACACCATCACTTTCCCCACCGCTATCGACATCACTATAAAAAAAATAACGAGATCACAATCCCCACGTCAAGAGAAGTCACATATGCGTAATCACAATCAATTACTAGAGTTCCAGCAGGCTCTCTCAACTCACTATCACCTGTAACAAGCGTCATTGTACCGATATGGCCCTTAGGGGTCACAAACCTTCCATAATGATGTTATATCCTATATTAACTCCATACGCCACTAATTTCTTCCTAAACATCTATATTATTTCTATGTTTATGATTGATAATATTCTCAATATGTTTAGCACTGTTCACGTATGCTAGGATTTTTTTTTTTGTAACCTAGCTATTTGATGCGGTTTTTACTGTGCGCGTGAGGGCTAGGAGCCCAGCTAGGAGCTGGGTTCTCTCCCGTGCCCAATCGTCTCTCCCAGCACGGGCGTATGAAGGGAAGGAGATTACGATGGAAGAGATACACACAGATACGTCGCGTTCAGAATCGCGAGCGAGCTAGCGCGTGTGACCGAGCCGCTCGGCGCGGCGCGCGATGTATATAGCACCTATGTAGGACAAGCACCCACTGACCACTGGCACCTCAGACACCATCAACACCCGTCATTGCCTTGGCCGAGAAACCTGTCTCATCTAACGGCACACACACACGCCCTCTCTCTCTTTACGGGCTATTCATGCCCGTGCCACCTCTTGGGTGGCTTAATCTTAGTCAATCAATCTCTCTCTCTCTCTTTCCCTTCTTCAGTCCTTCCCTTCCCACCTCCTCCCTCTTCTCTTCCTTCTTCTATTTGTCCGAAACGCTGTATTAGTGGCTTTAGGTATTGTATGTACTGTACTACTTTTCCCTGATAACTCCTTTCCCCTCGAAGTAATATATCTATCTATAAATCCACCATTATGTTTGTAACTCATCATCTATGTATGTATTTTTACCTGGATAAAAATTTGAATTTGAATTTTGAATTCCCTTTTTTGTGGGATTAAACAGTCAGTCGCAGACAGTCGCCGTGAGAGGGTGTGTTCCTTGCAGCTCCGATTGTGCTATCATAGTAATAATAAAATAGGAGTAATCAAATAATATTAATAGGGGTATTAAAAGTATCAACGCGAAACAATGGGTTTAAATTGGATAAGTTTAGATAGGACAGACCTGGGTAAATACCGGTTCAGTAACAGGGTTGTTGATTTGTGGAACCAATTACCGCATAACATAATAGAAATAGGATCCTTTGATTGTTTCAAGAGATTTTTGAGCGAGGATCGAAATATGATTTCAATTTCAATATCAAATCGTCACTCAACTGAGCGTTTATTGCTAGTAGAGTTACATATGAACTAAAAATATATATTTATATGTATCCTCTATACTTGTAGCTCATTTCAAGACATAAATGTAGAGTAATTATTCTAGAGCAGCTAGTAATGGTATAATAATTGGATATGCTAGAATGTTATATTATGATAGAGGTTTGTGAATGCGGATCAGCTGGTGGAAGGTAAACAGTTCTCGGCACTCGGCCAACAGCCTCGTTTTTGACGCAGTTAACTTGTGTTCCATGTTCTGGCGAGACGGCAGGCAGTGGCTTCACTGTTCACTGGACGGGGTTAGCATGGATGCCTTAGAGTTATTCCGGCAGTGCAAGAAGGGAGACATCGAGGAGGTTAGGTAAGGCAACTGGGAGGGTGTGTCACGGGGGCTCCATCACCACCACCACCTGTCACCATCACCACCAGCTGTCACCATCACCACCAGCTGTCACCATCATCACCAGCTGTCACCACCACCACCACTTGTGACCATCACCACCACCATGACGTCACTGCGGTGACAGTTACAGTGAAGGCACCCTGGTGACACCATTATAGTGGCACTGCTCTGGTCTCACCACCATGGTGGCACTACCCTGGTCCCACCACCACCATGGTGGCACTACCCTGGTCCCACCACCACCATGGTGGCACTACCCTGGTCCCACCACCACCATGGTGGCACTACCCTGGTCCCACCACCACCATGGTGGCACTACCCTGGTCCCACCACCACCATGGTGGCACTACCCTGGTCCCACCACCACCATGGTGGCACTACCCTGGTCCCACCACCACCATGGTGGCACTACCCTGGTCCCACCACCACCATGGTGGCACTACCCTGGTCCCACCACCACCATGGTGGCACTACCCTGGTCCCACCACCACCATGGTGGCACTGCCCTGGTCCCACCACCACCATGGTGGCACTACCCTGGTCCCACCACCACCATGGTGGCACTACCCTGGTCCCACCACCACCATGGTGGCACTACCCTGGTCCCACCACCACCATGGTGGCACTACCCTGGTCCCACCACCACCATGGTGGCACTACCCTGGTCCCACCACCACCATGGTGGCACTACCCTGGTCCCACCACCACCATGGTGGTACTACCCTGGTCCCACCACCATGGTGGCACTACCCTGGTCCTCCCCACCATGGTGGCACTACCCTGGTCCCACCACCACCATGGTGGCACTACCCTGGTCCTCCCCACCATGGTGGCACTACCCTGGTCCCACCACCATGGTGGCACTACCCTGGTCCCACCACCATGGTGGCACTACCCTGGTCCCACCACCATGGTGGCACTACCCTGGTCCCACCACCACCATGGTGGCACTACCCTGGTCCTCCCCACCATGGTGGCACTACCCTGGTCCCACCACCATGGTGGCACTACCCTGGTCCCACCACCATGGTGGCACTACCCTGGTCCCACCACCATGGTGGCACTACCCAGGTCCCACAACTATGATGATGCTGCAACATACCCACCTCAATAACATCATCATGTGCCCATGCCTTTGGTGATGCTGTCATGGTGATTTGGTTTGTTTAATGAAAGGTTCAAATTTGAACACCAACTACATAATTTGGATTCTTAAATTTGAGAATCACAGCATAGGTGCGATTGTATTTCATATTCATATTTGTGTCAAAATGTCTTAAATTTCTGGTATATTACTTCTCTAATATATATATATATATATATATATATATATATATATATATATATATATATATATATATATATATATACATATACTGTATAAACTGTGTATTTCAGGTTGCTGATTGAACAACGAGATTTTGATGTCAACATACGAGACAGATGGGACAGTACACCTCTGTAAGTTCAAAATCTCACAGGTTATAAATTTATTTTCTGGGCGTGCCTTTTAAGTAGCTTGCCAAGCTATAAACCACCTGGCTATACCCACCTGGCTAACTGGCATACTAAAAATGGCACCTGGCTCTATCAATTCATGAGTGCCTACTGGCCCTCTCAATAAAGGCAGGAGCAGCTGGAGATCTAGTATCACCAAAGTACCCAAGATAAAAAAAAAAATATCAGGAAGGTAGAGTGCACCAAAATATACAACTGTATTGTAAAGATTGGCAACTCTGTCCCTAACAATGTAAACACTTATTATCCAGGTCAAACCAGTGGTCCATCCCTCATGTCCACCACAGGTGGCAGCACTGGCCACCGATAGTCTTGGGACACCACCCACTCATTCACCCACCACCACACCTGGTACTCTGTTGGCAAGATCCATGCTGCTCCACTGGACTCGAATTCTGCTTGTACATTTTTTTTTTTTTTTTTTTTTTTTTTTTTTTTTTTTTTTTTGAGATATATACAAGAGTTGTTACATTCTTGTACAGCCACTAGTACGCGTAGCGTTTCGGGCAAGTCCTTAATCCTATGGTCCCTGGAATACGATCCCCTGCCGCGAAGAATCGTTTTTTCATCCAAGTACACATTTTACTGTTGCGTTAAACAGAGGCTACAGTTAAGGAATTGCGCCCATTAAATCCTCCCCGGCCAGGATACGAACCCATGACATAGCGCTCGCGGAACGAGCTGTGTTCCTTCTTTTTATTTATATATACAGTACAAGAGTTCTTACATTCTTGTACAGTAAAGCCAATAGCACGCATAGCGTTTTGGACACATCCTTAATCCTAATTTTCCCCAAAATACAACCCACCAAATCGTTTAACAACCATGTACCCATTCACTGCTGGGTGAACAGAGGCTGCAGTTAAGGATTTGCATCCAGTCAATCCTCCCTGGCCAGGATACGAACCCAGGCCAAAGCGCTCGCGAAACTCTTTGGCCTGAGAATCTGCATTGGCCTGAGAATCAAAGTACTGTATGGTGATAACATCACTCATTAAGGGTTCAATTTCACATATTTATTTTTAATTTGGTGTGAAAATAGCTTATAAAATGCTGGCCAGATTTTGTGTTGCACTCCAAACTTTGTCATACATACTGCTTCATTAAATCCTTTTATAAATGCTGGAGTGTTTAAATAATCCAAATGAAGAAATAATCCAACCCAAGAAACATGGTATTTCTGCCTGAAACGCTATGCGAGAAAGTGGCTTTGCAAGAATGTAAGAACACTGATATTATGTACTCTCACAACCCAATGTTCCTTCTTGTATATAAATAAATAAACCTTTCCACCCCTGCCCCCACACACATGAAAAGAATAGAATGTGACTATGTTTTGGCTCATCATTAAACCTTATTATTGCAAGTCTTTTCATGTGTGTGCATTGAGTTATGTATTTTTAGTCACCTTACTATGACTTACTTTCTGCCTACTGTAGTGTGGTTGGCTAATCATATGCCTTTGATAAGTCCAGATTTTTAAATTGTGTATGTATGTATGTATTATGATTAGTTTTGTAAAATTCCTTGTCAGTTCTGTATTTTGATCTTTAAATCAATCAATGGTATTGCATAAAAAGTATTACAGTTCTCTTTTTAAATGCTCCTTCAGGTATTATGCGTGTTTATGTGGACACCAACAAATAGTGGAGTACCTAATAGGTGCTGGTGCTCGATGCGAAGCCAATACCTTCGATGGGGAACGGTGCCTCTATGGTGCTCTGACGGATGATATTCGAAAGGTTCTGACTCAACATAATTTGGTAACTTCCCACACTATTAGGAGAGATGCTTATGATGAATTCTTAAGAAGGTAAGTTTTTGTACCAATTTCACATTTGTAAAACTGAAAAGTGTTGAAAAATAAAGGAAAACAAAAATTCATGTTTATATAATGCTATTTGTCTTCACGGTGGGGTAACTGTAGGATAAGACAAATAGCAGTCTTACCTTTTTTTACTTTTTTTTTCTGTTTATATAATTGGCATTCCATCTGCTCTAGAGAGACTGCACGAACATCCATTTTTCTCATCATATAAATTGCAAGAGGTCCCGGGTTCAGCTCTTGGTCAGGCCCGCAATTTATATGATGAGAAAAATGGATGTTTGTGCAGTCTCTCTAGAGCAGATGGAATGCCAATCATATAAACAGATAAAAAAAAAAAAAAAGAGTATAAAACGGTAAGACTGCTATTTGTCTTATCCTACAGTTTCCCCACCGTAAATACAAATAGCAATCTTAACCTTTTTTTCACTTTTTTTGCTTTTTATCTGTTTATATGATTGTACATATATATAATACTGTATATTATATATATATGTACAGTATTATTATACTATACTGTACATATATTCTCATTATGCTGGGTTTCAATATACAGAATCATTGGCAAATTACTGGAATGGATAAAGGAATGGTTAAAATACTGAATCATTCTAAATATATCCTAATATCAAAACTATATTATCAAAGTGATTTGCAAAATGAAACAAATAATTAAAAGACTGCCAAATGCTCTTCAGTATTATATATACAATACAGTTCAACCTCGATTCAATGAACCATATGGACCAACCCCACTTCGTTGCAGTGAAGGGTTTGTTGCAACCGGAGATGCCTCCAAGATGCATTTTCCATGCCTTTTGGGCAGATTTCACTTGGCAAAATGTTAATTTCAACCTAAATTATAATAGGCTACCAAATGAACATTTCTGAAAATTATAAAAATTAATCACATCTAGCTTATTTCTCTTGTTCATAACCTCAACACTCATTTTCAAAAGGTGGCAGGCCCATACTGGGCACTTCTAAGCAAACGCTTCTACTGATTTTCTCATTGATATATCACGTTAATGTGAGTTGTCTGTGCACATGAAGAAGCATTGGAGGTACAGTTCCTAGACTGGAAGCCAGAGAGCATGAGGGCATTGTGTGAAACCCTAGTTTGGCCTTGGTGTAAGGCTCGGAGACCCTAGATGATTCAATTGAATCCCAGATTGCAATGCTTTGACCCTGTCATGGTGTAGTGGTCTAGAGCAGGCATGTCAAACTGAGGGACAAAGCATTGCATTGTATATATAACAAATGTGACCCATATAGCCCACGAGGGCCATATGGGTCACATTTGTTATCATGAGGACCACACACCACAACTAACTGAAGTCATTTAATAAAAATTATTGCAAAATTTTTTTTTTATTATATACCAAATTATGGTATTCTTTGTGTAGGCTGCAGGTGTACTTGCAAAAGGTCACATGTGGCTCATGAGTTGCATGTTTGCTCAGGGTTCGTAGTCCTTAGGGTCTGGGTTCGATCTCCGGTGGAAGATCATTCACCCTGATATCCCTGTCCACCTAGCAGTAAATAGGTACCTGGGAGTTAGACAGCTGCTTTGGGCTGCTTCCTGGGGATAAGTGTTTGTGAAAATTAGCATTGAGGACTTGCCCGAAATGCTATGCATTTTAATGGCTGTACGAGAATGTAAGAACTCTTGTATATACTGTATAAATATATAAAAAATTGAATATGGTTGGTAAAGTTCCCAAAAGACGAGGAAGACTTTCCAGTAGTCACAGGCTTCCTGCCTCTGTCGAGGCCACTAGACATGCTGGTATCTAGATAAATTTAAAATGAAATAGCTTAAAAATTTACCTTGCTCTGAGTTGTCGAACTCCTGGCTCTGCAGAAACTTGCCGCTTTGCTCACTGTGCACTGCAGAATCTGTAAAGTGGATCAAGATTAGCTTTATATATTAATACACTATGTCAGATTGCATCATTCCAGATAGGAATGATTTAAGCTCTTGGAATGGGATTTGACTAATGTAAGTGGTAGCAGTGGATTGATAAAATTATGCCCTAGAATGTAATAAATGACCTGAGTGCATGCACACGTAGTTAGAAAGAAAAATCTCACCCAGTAAATGCTCTTGACAGTTGGTAACAGAATCAACAATCACACTGTTGTAGTACCATTGTTGAGTGTAATGAAATTATTTTTTTTATTTTTTGTATTTATTTATATATACAAGAGTTCTTACATTTTTGTACAGTCACTAGTACGAGTAGCGTTTCGGGCAAGTCCTTAATCCTATGTTCCCTGGAATACGAGCCCATGAAAAATTGTTTAACAACCAAGTACCCATTTTACTGTTGAGTTAAACAGAGGCTACAGTTAAGGATTTGCCCCCAGTAAATCCTTCCCGGCCAGGATACGAACCAAGGACAAAGCGCTCACGAAACGCCAGGCGAGCGTCTTGACCACTACACCACGGAGACTGCACCATTACACCATGGAAGATATATGTACACCATGTATAAGGCGTACACCATGGTGTACGGTTGTCTCTAGGGTTACCCGGTCGGCCGAGCGGACAGCACGCGGGACTTGTGGTCCCAGGCGCCGGCGAGAAACAGTGGGCAGAGTTTCTTTCACCCTATGCCCCTGTTACCTAGCAGTAAATTAGGTACCTGGGTGTTAGTCAGCTGTCACGGGCTGCTTCCTGGGGGTGGAGGCCTGGTCGAGGACCGGGCCGCGGGGACACTAAAAGCCCCGAAATCATCTCAAGATAACCTCAAGATCTCAAGATAACCCACTCAATAGCTCTGAAATGTTACAACCTGGAAGCAACAAGTCTTGGGGGAGCACACCAGGTCTATAGGGCACCACAAGTACTTACCGGGAACCTGGACCAGAATCTGGCTCAATTGAAGAGATTAAGGAACCTGGGGATTAGAAACGACCATAGTGCCAAAAATTTAACTTAATCCAATCACTGAGAAGACTCCGAAGGAGCATGCACTGGCCATAGGTACAAGAAAACTGGAATAGGGGGGCACAGCAACAGCCCACTGTAAAGCTAGCAAGAGAAGCTCCACCAATGCTGAATGATATGAGATATTAGGCATCAATTAGCTATCCAAGAAATGCCAAGAAAGAAACATCACTTCAGGAACAGACTACAAATGGCAAAGTGAGAGGAAGAGATGGAAAGTCCACCACACAACCTCATACAATACAGCATATAATAATTACATATGTACACTACAGAACATTTGCAGCTTTTAAAGAAAGCTGCACAGCAACTTTCTGCACTGGTATGGATATAGCTGTACCTTTCTTCCATGTTTATGTTAGAAATTCCATTCAATAAAATAATCAGAATTTGATAATTTAATCTGTTAGACCTGATATGGCTAGTCTAAATTTTGTTGTAAGTGCATCTTTTTTTTTCCCTAGTAAAAAAGTGGTGCAGACTAAGATGATATTCACCTTTTAAACCATTTCTATTATATAGTACAGTACTCTTATTTTATTTTTCAGATTATACGAGACTGGCGAGTACAGTGACATAACATTTGTGGTTCAGGGCGAGTCTTTCCCACTTCATCGTTGTTTGCTGGCCAGCCGCTCAGAATACTTCAGAGAGATGTTTTCATCTCGATGGCATAACCGGTCTAGAGTGAGCATCAATAAAGATTTGGTGAGTGCTGTGTGATGAATCTTAAGCGGCACTGTATTGTCTGATGCAATGGGCTGGAACTGCCATACTAATATAAAAGATCAAAGAAATTGCATTACATGATGTATCAATGAGAAAATTTATACATCATGTAATGATGTATTAATTTTGAGAAGAATTTTGAATTTTTATTGATGTATCAATAAAATGAGAAGTTTTTCTCATTTTAACATAGAAAATCAGTACCTGTACTGATTTTCAAATTGATATATCAAGTTAATGTGATTTCTTTGTACATTTGAGGAAAAGCATTGGAAGTAGAATTTCAAGAATACAAAGCCAAAGTGCATGGGGGCCATTGTATGAAACCCTGATTAGGCTTCAGTGGAAGCCTCCGGCACTAGAGGATTCAATGGAATCCCAGGTTGCAATTCTTTTGACTATGTCATGGCATAGTGGTCTAAGGAGTTTGCTTGAGAGTACCCAGAGCATAGGTTTGAATTCTCCTATCGGCCCCTATTGATTTTGTCAATATAAACGATATTATCCTTATGTAGGTAATCCTGGTAGATACTTTTTAGTTTTCACTTGATATTCTCTTTTCTTGTACAGGTTTTGTGAAAAGTTTAGAGAATACATTCAACATTCATGTATGATGGTAAAAGAAAGGTTTCTTCATAACTGGACTGCGTTGTCCCTGGGAAATTGCATTTAAAACCAATTTAAACCTTGCTGACCAAACCTCGCATCAGAAAATGGAGAAGTGATGACGTTTCAGTCCGTCCTGGACCATTATAACTTTTGTGGGATTGTTTCATAATGTTGTATATTTTTTCATACAGGTACATCCAGGAGCATTTGGCGCAGTCATGAAGTACATATACACTGGGAGGTTTGAGTGTCCATTAGAGCTGGTTGAGAGGAGTATTCGTATTGGTATGAATTGCAAGCTTCCCAACTTCAAATCCATGATTGAGGATGAACTCAAAAAGTCTCTAACTTTACGTGAGTGTTAGCTTATTTATTTGTGTACCTGCTTTGTGCTGCATTGTTGCTTTTTTTCTTTTATCTCAGTTAAGTGTTGTATGCTGGATTAAAAAATAAATAAATGTGAATGCTGTTCCCACCTCAATCCTTAAATGGCTCTAAATACTATCTGCAACCACCTCTTGTGCTCGAATATCCAAATGCAATATTTTTACATTAGTTTTACAAACTATTTTTTATTTTGTGTTCATTATGGTGTAGAACTTCTAATTAGATGAGCCCATTAAGGGTTAAATAGCTACCGTTAAGGGTTAAATAGCCACCATATAACCACCATTTAACCCGTTAAGGGTTAAATAACTACTGAAGGCCCAAGATAACACCTGTAACAATTGCTACAGAGGTACCTTAGCTTGAGGTTACCTTTGAGATGATTTCGGGGCTTGGCATCCCTGCGGCTCGGTCCTCGACCAGGCCTCCAATAGCTTGAGGTAATAACACTACTGTTGGAGGAGCACTATATTATTTGGATTTGAAACGAGAGGTTAATGAGTAGGTAAGATAGATGAAATTAATTGACTTGTACTTTTTCTGTATTGATACTACAACTCAAATGATATGAATTTTGTTCTAAAACTCTTCAGGTCCTTCCGAGTTTATTTTCTCAGATTCTAATTACAGAAGGTCCCCGTTATATGAATGTCTATTATATGAATACTTGTCCATCTGAATGGCTTCCCAAGTCCCCAATTTTGTGTCTCAGTCCACTATATATATATATATATACCGTATATAAATCAAATCCAATGTCCACATGACCCACTAGTGTCGTGCTGTAGCCCACATTGTGCTAGTCAGTGGTACTGGTACTGTGATCACTCTCATAAAGGGCTAGTCCTCTTTACTCTCAAAAGTTCCAGTTGAGCAAGGTAACTTCACATGTAAGTGTTGGTACAATTAGGATCGGTGGCAGAGTGGTTTTGTTGTTGTTTTCCTTGATGCTTGCCATCCACATCCGTTGGATTTTTCCTTCACCTATTCCCCCTCCCCCTGTCATTGGTGTTGTATAGTAGTCACAGTCAGTCAGACGGTCTTAATCTCAGCTGTTATTCCACATGTAAAAGGCCACCCAGGGAGTGGCTGAGGGGGGGGGGTGGAGATTGTTGGGTGTCGGGGAACGGTATATGAAGGTTTTCAGGATGCAGGTGGCTGGGCGTCATGGGTTGGGATAGGATGGCATCAGGGATGGGGGATGGGATGGTGTCTGTGATGTGGGTTGGATGGGTGTCAGGGAATGAGAAGGAGGAGCCTTGAGGGGAGAGACTGGGTGTGTGTTAATGGTAGGGAGGGTGGCAGGGAGGGAGGCAGGGAAGTGAAACAGCTAGCAGATTAAGGTAGAGTTAATCCTAATTTTTCCCCAGAATATAACCCCGCCAAATCATTTAACAACCAGGTACTCATTCACTGCTGGGTGAATAGAGGTTTCATTTAAGTATTGGCACCCGGTCAATCCTCCCCGGCCAGGATATGAACCCAGACCAAAGTGCTTGCGAAGCCCTGGGAGAGTGTTTTACCATTGCGCCATGGGGACGGCGTGGGTGGGTGGGTGTAGGTGCCGGGAGCAGATGGGCTGGCGTGGGTACTGGGAGTGATTGGGAGGGTGCCGGGAGCCGTTGGGTAGGTGCTTGTGGGTATTAGGATCCTATAGGTGGGTGGTTGGGGCATGGGTGCTAGGGAGAGGGTGGGTGGGTGTCTGTGGGTGCCAGGTGTGGGTTGGGGGCCAGGAGTATGTCAGTGCCAGGAGTATGTAGGTGCCAGGAGCAGGTGGGTGGGTGGGTGTCAGTGTCAGGAGTGAGTAGGTGGGTGTGAATGTCATTAATGGATGGATGGATTAAGGGGTATCAGCAGTCTTTATGGGAGTGATGTTTCTGGGAAGATGACAATGTTAAGAGCGGCAGTGCTCACAAATCTTCAATGACCCACAAACTCACATGATTTGTACAAGACCAGATGATGATTAGTCTGCTGGTGGGGTGGGGTCCGAGGGCTGGTGATAAGAGGGTATCGAAGGATTTAACTCGTGGGACAATAATAGTAATATATTTACAAGAAGGTGTAATAGGTTTTGGGGGATTACATAACATTGGTATTTTTACACTCTTACAAAGCCACTAACACGCATAGCATTTTGGACAAATTACAAAATGGCTGACCGTCAATAAAGTACAACTGTGTTTTAATTTATTCATGTAATTAGACCACTTCACTCATTTAGAGTGAATTAGAGCACAAAACAGCTGATGTTGAGAAGCAGGATAACTCCATCATTCAAGGTAAATAATATGCTGTTTTTTTTATATTATATGTCCTAACAATATTGGTTTTGTGAGGATTTTTGGTAATCTTGCGGTTATCTTGAGATGATTTCGAGGTTTAGCGTCCCCACGGCCCAGTCCTCAACCAGGCGTCCTTTTTGTTACACATCCCCAGAAAGCAGCACGTAGCAGCTGTCTGACTCCCAGATACCTATTTACTGCTAGGTGAACAGGTGCATCAGGGAGAAAGAAACCCTGCCCATTTGTTTCCGCCTCCACCAGGGATTGATCCGGGAACCTCAGGACTACGAACCCCTAGCGCTGTCCACTCGGCTGTCAGGCCTCTAACGGGGCCTGTTATCTGGGAATGCATCTACCATTTTGTTTGTGGTCATCAAATCACCTCATTTCTTTGTCTGTTAGCTTTGGCATATTTGATGCCTTGAGTTGCTCTTCATAGCTCTTGTTGTAACCCTTAGACTGCTCCCATTGCCCTCAGGCAATAAGGGTTGATGTGCCAGTCAGCTGTGGGAGCAACCTGTCCTCCTACAAAGAATGTCACTTTTCACTCGTATGCGTACAAAAGGCAAAAAAAGTTTGTACCTGTATTAGAAAATGGAAGCAGCTCGCAAAAGTGATGTACTGTCCCTCTTTTTGTTTTGGGTCCTCTGGTAGGTTAGGAGAGGGCACTTTAAATTGACCGTTTTCTTGACATTGGGAAACCTTAGGAGGATGGGCTGGTGGAGACCAGATTTGCCTTATTGGAAAAATAATTCTGAACACTTTAGTTTCCTTCCTCGGGTCTTGGTAAAGACAGGCACCGAGTTTGGTGCATCATCGTTCATTGACTGACGCCCGTGCTAGGAACCATTGATGTCATGCAAAATTACAGGGATGTTTATCAGCCTGAAAGATATTAATGATAAATCTATTCCAATACTGTAGATAACTTTAAAGATATTTCACAGGAAATGACATCATCAACACTTTTTTTCCCCACCTCATTACGGCCAAATTAAAATGAAAAAAAGTACAAGTAATTATTTTTTTCCTGACATCAGAAAGCAATGTTTTACTACATAGAAAGGATTTTTGTATTTTTTATTATGTGCACCAGGAAATTGATCTAATTTAAGGTGTGCAGTTATGAGGTTGAGAACTACTAAGAGACACCAAAAAAAAGGATACAATATTACATTACAAGTAACATTTTAGTTTTGGGAGAAAGAACTGTATTGTAGAGGTACAGCAAAACCCTTGAAAAAAGTTCATATATCAAGTTTTAAAGAAGCTGAAATTTTGCCTTGCCTACCTGGATGACTTAATTGTCAGCATTAATGAAGACCAACATGATCATCGCATCCATCGGGTCCTGGAGTTCGTGCAGGAGGTGGGAATTGTCACTGACTCGGCACAAGGCATTTTTCTCGTCTTGAACAGCACTTTCCTCTACCGTTGTGTCACGCTAGATGGCATTCTCCCTCATGAAGAGATAGTGACTACCATCTGGGAGTGCCCCCTAGCCCATCATCCAATGGCAGCTTTTTTGGGTATGTGGTCTTGGACACGTTCTCACGCTTCACCCAAAATTGATAGCATTCACCTGCCTCGTTACTTCGACAATCAAATCCAGCTCGGTGCCCATTGCCTGGATAGAAGAAGCATTCAGGGTTTTCCAATATTGTATATAATGTATAAAAGAACCAACCAAAGCCACCTTTGTCTGCATCCTTGAATATAATAGTGGAGGTATCAAGACTATGCCAAGGGCACTATCATGCTGCAGTATATGGCCAGTCAGTGTCAGCCATTGGCTATCTATGTGAAGATACTTTTCCTCATTGAGGCCCATCATGGTAGCATTCGAGAGAGATTTGCTGGCTGCCTACCCAACAGTTTGATATTGCTGCCATTTTGTGGAGGTGTGTGTGTGTGTCATATTTTTAGAGATTATAAGACCATCGCAGAGCCTTACTTTCTGAGGGAATCCCACTGCCTGGCTCTTATCTCGAAGTTAATACTGGCTATTAGACATATCCTGGGGCTTCGAGAGCATATGGAGGATGCTGTGTCTTGGCTTCATCTAAAAGTCTAATCCCTTTCACAGATCCTGTTCCTGATGATGGCCTGGCAGCAATGCAGCTGAAGGATGGTGAAGTCAAGGATGTTGGCTAGCATGCACAGGCATGTTACCCGTTATATCTCCACAGGCAAAGTGCACCCCAAGGAATCGGCTTCTCAGTCGCAGAATCTTCGACACCTTCCATGGCCAGTTTCACCCCAGGGTCTTGACATGCATGGTTGGGGATTGCTGTGTGGGGCAGCTTGGGATGTAGTGCAACATCCACATCTATGGGTGCCATCTTGCTATCATGCAAGCTTTTTTTTTTTTTTTTTTTTTTTTTAGATGGGTAGCCACACAGGTCTACTCCTAGGCCCCTTAACAATCTCACACCACTGTAACTTGCAACGTCCACGTGTGATTGTACTGTTTTGCCCTTCAAATCGATCTAGATAAAATAAGTGCTTGGAGCGGCAAGTTGCAAATGGAATTCAATGTGAATAAATGCATTATGGAATATGGAATTGGAGAAAATAGATCACACACAACTTAAAAATTATGTAGAAAGGAATTACAGAACTCTAATAAAGAACAAGAACTTGGGGTTGTTTTGGATTGTAAGCTGTCACCAGAGGAACACA